CTATTCTTGGTTTGCACATGACGTCAACAAAAGATCGATATACGAAAATTAGATCTAAAAGAAACGCCAGTTATATATATGACAGATAATTATTATCGAAAGACATTGCCAAGGTTTGGTTTAAAAACGTTTTTTAGTTCCCGAGATATTTACGCTTGAATGTGTGTCACGCAATAGCAGTCACGTATCCAATTCGAATGAAAAAAATTGATATCAATTTGATATTTGGCCTTATATAGTATCCTTGTATCCATTTTAAGTAAATTATTGTAGAAAATGATCGAAAATATTCAATTTTGCCTTCTTCTCAGACCTTTAAAGTATCATCCGCCATGTTGGAAGATATGCCGTCGTCTTCCAACATGGCTGCCCCATACATTCCCTTGTAAAGTAAGACCGTATTCAAATGCTTATAGTTTTGCTACAAAATCGCAGTTTAACTTCAAACTTTGCATATATGTTGCGAATTATATGCTGTTTTTGGAATTGGACATAAAACATTTATTTGGATCTTAAAACAAAGTTTTTTTGTAGGTATTTCTTGACCGGTCTAAAACGCGTTGACCCGTGAAAATCCCATACATTCTTACCAATTTTCGATCGCTCGTATTTCTGTTAAAAAGAATCATTTTGGCTCAAAAGTTCGTGATGATCCTTTAATTTAGATGTTCTCTTAAGGACAATAATAATATTTCGCTAACTTAGCCTCTAAATAGCTTTTTTAGAATATCACGTGATGGTTGCAAACCAAGAATAGCCCGCAAAATGTAGAATATAATTGCAATTTTAAAAACTAGCATTTAACTGCTTCAACCAAAAAATGGTGTTTGGTTATTCCTTTAAAGAGCCGTAAACTTATAAGCATTTTAACTTACCAGGGCTTTTTCTAAACAGAGAGAAAATAAGAATACTTTAATTTAAGCTTAAAACTAAAGTATTAAGTTAAAAGAAAAAAAAAGAATGTTCTTTAAAATTTTAATATTAAGAGACTTCATAAGCAATTAAAAATTAAATTGSATTCAGCTTAAGTCAAAAGAACTGTGTTTTGCTTTGTTTCTGTAGACGRAGTGTTAACTTTGTCTTTTSTTTTTTGTTAGTCATCGTTTATTTCGAAGTGWGAAGTCCGGGTGAGAAGTAAGCTTAAGTAAGATTAAAGCTATAAACTTTAGCAAAAAGCTATGCAGTCGTGCGTGCAAACTCACCTGCCCAAACTTCAAAAACCATGGCACTCATGAAAATCCATAAAAGTATTCTATTTGTATGTCCAGTAAAATACATCTTTGATCAAAAGCCACACTATAAGGTCTCATTGACTTCTCGAGACTTCACAGAAATGCTGCACCGAGCCGAGAGGCCTGGGACGGACTGGTATCGATTACAAAATGGCGATGGAGACGACTGGGAAAGATCAAGTGGATTATCAAGCGATTGCTGCAAAACTTAGTGAAATATTGTTGCCTGTTGGCTTAGAATCTCATCCTTTTAAGGTGACGTATTTTAGAACTTATTTTCAAAGGAGTTTTAGCTAAGCTTCTGGAAATAATGCTTGCTTCATTTCCCGGTAAATTTCCATCTCGCCCGATCTCCCCTTTCGATACCATGAAGAAATCGATCTCCCCATACTACCATGAAGAATTCTAGTCTTACAATTGATAAATGGCAAGAATTTCCAACTTTAATTACATCTGATTGCGGTCTGAATGCATTATATATAAATAGGGAACTAGCCTATAAACAGATGTTCTAACACACTTTTGCATAGGCTGCAATGGTTTGCCTTGCTAAACTCACACCCACTCAGTACTTCCCATCAAAAAGAAAAATCTAAAACAAACACAATCAAGTAAACAAAACAAATCAAAAAATACAAAACAATAAAGTTTTAAAAATATCAACTTGTACACAATCATAGTTA